GCTGTTCATCCCACCTGACTTTGAGCAGTGGCCATGCGGGGGTGCCTGATGCATGTCCTACCCTACCTACCACCTGTGCCTGACAGCCCGGTCCCGGCATTTGCCTGAATCCTTTCTGAGCTCACAGCATCCAACTCTAAACAAGGGCTCTCCACTGCCTATAGAAATTCTCTAAACGCTAGCCTTGGATTCAAGATCTGGTGTGGTCTGGCTTCCAAACATCCATCACTACCCTACTTGGTATACCCTCCAGCTTAACAATACCTCTATGCTTCTCCGACCTCTGAGAACTTGCTTACATCGTTTCCTCTGATATTACAATCTTTTCATGCCCAGTTTCTGCATGTTCAGAACTCACCTAGGGTTCTCATCTAGTCCTTTGGGTTTGAAGTAGCAAAATATGTTGAAATAAGTAAATTCCCCAAAAGGCCATCTCCAGTGGGTGTGACATCCTAGAAGGTCAACACAAGGCACTACCTCAAAGGAGAGTCCAGTTACACATTAACTGCTGGTAACAGAAAAAATACAGGAGGAGTCATCTATTCCAAGAAGTTAGAAAAACAATAAATAAACCCAAAGAAAGTAAAATAAGGGAAGCAATAAAGTTAAAATCAGAAATTAATGATTAAAGGGTGCCTGGATGGCTCAGTCCGTTAAGCATCAGACTCCTGATTTCAGCTCAGATCAAGACCTCAGGGTCGTGAGATTGAGCCTCACATGGGGCTCTGTGTGCTCCGTGCGGAGTCTGCTTGTCCCTCTCCCTCCTCCTCTGCCCCTTCCCCTGCTAGCAATCGGGGTGTTGGGCACATAGGACTTCAGGCACCCCCGCATGGTCAGTACTCAAAGTCAGGTGGGATGAACAGTGCTCTGGAGGGTCAGGAAAGAGTGTTAGGAGTAGAAGTGATTTGGATGAAAGTAATCACTAAAATCCTGAGGGTTCCAAGGAGAGAAGGGAAAAGAAGAAGAGTTGAGGATGAAACCCTTTTTTTAAAAAAAAAAATTTATTTCTCTCTCAAATAAAATCTTTTAAAAAAAGAAATCAATGATTAAGAAAACAAAAAAATGAATTTATAAATCTAAAAACTAGATCACTGAACAATATGGATGTCACTAGCTAGCCTTACAGAAGAAACAAGGAAGAGAGCACAAAAACACAAAATTAGGAAAGGGAAACTCGTCCCATGTACAGAGGAAATAGAGGTAAGTATGAGACCATTATATAACACTATAATTTAATACATTTTGAAAATCCTAATAAAACTGCTGATCTTCTATGAAAATATTTTTCCCAGAACTGGGTTGGAAACACATGGGAATAAACAAATAAATAACATGCAGAAATAAAAACAATTCTCCTCCGGGCGCCTGGGTGGCTCAGTTGGTTAAGCGACTGCCTTCGGCTCAGGTCATGATCCTGGAGTCCCTGGATCGAGTCCCGCATCGGGCTCCCTGCTCGGCGGGGAGTCTGCTTCTCCCTCTCCCACTCCCCGTTTCTGTTCCCTCTCTCGCTGTGTCTTTCTCTGTCAAATAAATAAATAAAATCTTTAAAAAAAAAAAAATTCTCCTCCAATACCCTAGTCCTAAATCATTTCACATGTGAATCTTTAAAAATTGAATAAACAGATTTTTTGATAATGTTTAAACTATTCAAGAGCATAGAGAAGTAAAGGAAATACCTTAACTCATTTTACATAATTGGCAAATGACTGATCTGAGAACCTAATAAAGACAAAACTGCAGACTAGTTTTACTTGTAAAGAGTTGGAAAAAAGTTTAAATATATATATATACACACACAAACCACATATAAATTGTATATATCAAATCAAATCAGCAGTACATTAAAAGAATAACATACCAAGACCAAGTAAAGTTCATTTCAGGAATCAAGGAATCCAAGGATGATTCCATATTAGGAAATTTAGTAATATAAATTAATTTTAAGTAAGTCAAGAGAAAAGCCATGATTGTCTTTACTATTAAAAATGCATTTATTAAAATTTATACACCCACTCCTCTTCATAAACCTCTTAATAAAAAGAAAATGGAGTACCTTGCTGGCTTAGTCAGTAGAGCATGTGACTCTTTTTTTTTTTTTTTAAAGATTTTATTTATTTATTTGACAGAGAGAGACACAGCGAGAGAGGGAACACAAGCAGGGGGAGTGGGAGAGAGAGAGAAGAAGGCTTCCCGCGGAGCAGGGAGCCCGATGCGGGGCTCGATCCCAGGACCCTGGGATCATGACCTGAGCTGAAGGCAGATGCTTAACGACTGAGCCACCCAGGTGCCCCGAGCGTGTGACTCTTGATGTGGAGGTTTTGAGTTTGAGCCCCACACTGGGTGTAGAGATTACTTAAAAATAAAATCCTTAAGAAAATGAAAATAAAAGGTATTTCTTTATTTTAATGAAAATATTTCTCAAAACCAAAGCCCGAATGTGTTTCATGCTAAAACGCCAGAAGCATTTCTGACCAAGCCAGGTATAAGAGAGGACCTAAGAGTACCACGGTTGACTATTGCTCTAGAAATTCCTGCCAAGACAATTAGACAAGGACTAAATTAAAATGTGTAATTAATAGAAAGGAGGTTGCAAAACTGTCATTATTTACAGAGCATATGATTGAACATCTAAAAAAAAAAAAACCAGCTTAAACCTACTAGAAAAATAAGAGGTGAGAAAAGAGATTATTTAAAAATTAACATTAGGGGCACCTAGGTGGCTCAGTAGGTTAAGTGTCCAAGTCTTGATTTTGGCTCAGGTCATGATCTCAGGGTTGTGAGATCGAGCACCATTTCGGGCTCCGTGCTGGGTGTGGAGTCTGCTTAAGATTCTTTCTCTTTCTGCCCCTTCCCCCCTTAAAAACTTAATATAAAAAAGCAGTATTTTATTAAAAATAACTTCTAGTTAAAAATTCAGGTCAAGGGGCGCCTGGGTGGCTCAGTCGTTAAGCATCTGCCTTCGGCTCAGGTCATGATCCCAGGGTCCTGGGATTGAGTCCCACATCGGGCTCCCTGCTTGGCGGGAAGCCTGCTTCTCCCTCTCCCCCTCCCCCTGCTTGTGTTCCCTCTCTCGCTGTTTCTCTGTCAAATAAATAAATAAAATCTTAAAAAAAAAAAAATTTAGGTCAAGATGGTAGATTGGGCATATTCTAAAACACTACTTTCTCTGCCTAATACATAAAAATGCTAGCTAGAATATTTAAAATATCTGAGTATTAAAATATTTTAATACGTGTCTCTAAGGCAAGAAAAGGGGGTTCCACAGGTGTCCGATATATGAGTAGTTGAGATTGTATAGCCTATGAAAGGACCAGAGAGGAATACAGGCTATAGGAACTGAGGTTAAAAATGCCCACAAGCCTGGCATTTAATGAGAAGTTGGATCTGGCTGCCCATCCACAAAGGGAAGTGTCTGAATGTCCTTCCATTACCCCAGGTTCTTAGCTAGAAGACAAGAGTTAGCCTTCCCAGACTGGAACCATGCAATTGGAATCCTGAGTCCACATACATGTGGGGCCTGTATTCTCAGGGTGGCAAAATCCAAGCCAATCCACTAACATTAAAAATGATCTAGAATCAGGGAATCCAAAATAGAACCCAAGAGGAGGCAACCAAATGGAGACTTCCACAAACCAAGCCAGGTAAGGAGAAATCTCTTGAGCAAGAATTCTAATACATGTGAGGAAGTCCAAGGCCATGCAAGTGCAATCCATGTACTTAAGTGGGAGAACCCACTCCTAAAGTAAAGCTCCTAGAACAGTCTAAATGAAGTTAAAATAAATACTTGAATGAAGAAAAAACAGCACCATCAAACGGAAATAGGAAGGAGGGGACTCTCCTACCAGCATGACTCAAGCCTGTAAGATTTCCAGCCCCGCTTGCTCTACCAGCATCGTCCTCTATAACCGCCTCTCTGGCACACAAAGGGGACAGCAGACTCTGCTGTGACACTTCACTTGTTTTCATTTCGAGCTCTGGCTCCGGGAGATGGAACCAAGGCTAAGTAGGAAGGAGAGAAAGGCAAAGACACAAGGAAGCTGTGAAGAGAGAAGTATATAATCACATGGGGCAGGGACAAAGTCATTGCCCAAGAAAGTTGAGCACTTCCCCAAACACTTCAGACACTTATTTTTTTCATGTGGAATATATATATAAAAAAAAAGGTTGGTGGTGCAGGTAAGAGTATTGACCCTCCGTTTTCAGGATCTACTTTTTTTTTAAGTGCTTGTCTAAGAAACTGAGAGCTTTTCATTACTAGACCCCACTTGGCTAGCAGGCTTTTGGTGGCCAATGGGCTATTATTGCCAGGTTGGGGCCAATCCTGAACTCAGACAGCACTTAAAAACCTCCAGCCAAGGGGTTCCTGGCTGGCTCAGTCAACAGAGCATGCGACCCTTGAGCTTCGGGGTTGTGAGTTTGTGCCCCACATTGGGGGTAGAGGTTACTTTTGAAGAAGAAGACGGTGGTGGTGGTGGAGGTGGTGGTGGTGGTGGTGGAGGAGGAGAAAGAGGAGGAGGAGGAGGAGGAGGAGCAACTCCAGCCAAGTACCCTGTTGTCTATAAGGGACTATCAATTTTCCAGGTCTTACCAATGTGGCCCTTCAATTATTGAGTGCCTGCCTCCAGCCTGGGGCTGAGGAGAATAAAAAGGGCTCTATGTCTTAGGCATCAGAGACAGCTTCCTGGCGGAGGTGACATCAAATGCTAAGTGGAAGGCATTTCCAGGTGATAATGGGGAAGTTGTGGGAGCAGCCTGTGGGCTAGGCAGAGAGAAAGCAAAACAGAGAACTGCCAGTCCAGAGAGGCTGGCTGGGGAAGTGTAATGAGAGAAGGGAGAAACCAGTTATGGTCTCTTCAAAATCTCTGTTGCCTTGAATTAATTTGTAAACCTGTTTTGGCTGTCTCTTGGGCACATACAATTTTTTAAATTAAAATTTCCCTAATGAGGTGATAAATTCTTGGATGGCAGAGAGTTTGACACAGTATCTTTCTTCCCAGCAGAGCCCTACCCTTGTCTGGAGAGGCCAACTGCCAGGCAGCCAGGCTCAAATCTGGCATCACTGGAAGCATGAACAGATGATGATGATTAATGTCGCTGAAGACCCGTAAGCTTTCTGCCCCTGCTGCACCCGGGCTCTGCATGGAACACAGATTCTTCTGGTCCGAAGGACTCTGACAGAGGCGAGAGGGGCTCTGGGGCTTGAGGGGGTAGGACCACATCCCCGTCCCTCTGGGTGAGACAGCAAGATTCTTGCTCTTGAGTCTCACCTCTTGCATCAAGTTCTTGCTGTGTTCATTTCTTGACAGTTTGTTTGCAGAGTTCATAATTTTTCAAAGAGTGGATCTGGGGGGAATCCGAATGTTCTTGAGAACAATTTAATTTTATGTTGTAATTCAGAGAGGATGAGAAAAAAAAAAAAAAAGCCTAATATAAGCATCTCCTAGGGTCTCTTCCTCAGTTATCAGAGCTGCTTCTGTCTTGGCACACTGGGGGAAGGAAGGTTTCCTGGTTGGTTTGAAGAGAGAAATGCCCCGTGAGAATTAGGTCTCTCCCAAAGACAGGCAGAAAGTTCTAGGGAGTTCATAATCATGCTGTGAACAACTATTAAGTTCCAGAACAACATTGTGGATATGGCTATATTAATGTTTTTAATTTCACTGGCTTTGCAGCTTTCTTTGTAATTCAGATGTAAGTCTGTTTCCATTTCATAGTTGCAGAAGTGTTAAGCGCAAGGAGTTTAAATAAGCACAAAGCTTACATAAGTAACTTTATAACAGAAAATTCTGTAACCAAATTTTTTTCTTTAGAAGCCAAGTAAATCTGTGAGGCCTTTGGCCTTCACGTAGGGGGTGGTGCTGCTGCTGGGACTTTGAACAACCTGCTGGTTTCAGGGCCCGAGCTGGAGCAGCCACCTGGCCTGCCTACCTGGCACATCCATGTCACCTTGACCATGTGGGGACATCTTTGCGTGCACCTCGACAGCATACCCACCGACTGGGGCATCTGGCCCACCAACTGGTGCATCCCGGGACCACAGCATCTAAGACCTTCTCCTCTGTGGCCTGTCCCTACACAGCTGAGGTGGTAGGCTGCCGATAGTTCTCTCCATTACAGGCTATTGCAAGTGTTCCAGCTAAATACATTTTGGTTAGCAGTCCCTCTCTTCTACAAAATAGGAAGACTCGAAAACTTTGCCTGATTTGCAAGTCCAAATTTTGTTTGGATAGCATGTTAGCATGAACAAAAAGACAGCTGCTGATCTCATTATTAACTGTAAATGGGACCGGCCAGCTTTTACCAGATGAACTGTACTCAGAAGATTCAGACTTCTTAAGAAATCATTCACCCATTGAAAAAAGACTGAAAAAATTAAGGCAGGCAAGAAATTTCAGAGAAGTGATGAGCGATCACTATCTTTATAGTACCCACATGAATGCTCAAAGTATAGCAAGTTTATTCTAAAAGCTCTGGAAAGATAGTAATGCTGCTTATTTAGTAATTTCTATACCCAACATGGGATCAAATTCATGACCCTGAGGTCAAGAGTCACATGCTCTTCTGACTGAGCCAGCCAGGAGCCCCACGAGTCTGCTTACTTAGATATTGGTCTATTTAAAGTAGCTCTGATGAATACTGGGGTCATCTAGACTTGCTTGAAACTTCAACTTTGGGGACGCCTGGGTGGCTCAGTCGGTTAAGCGTCTGTCTTCACCTCAGGTCATGATCCCAGGGTCCTGGGATCAAGTCCCACATCGGGCTCCTTGCTCAGCAGGGAGCCTGCTTCTCCCTCTGCCTGCCTCTCTCCCTGCTTGTGTTCTGTCTCTCTCTCTCTGACAAATAAATAAATAAATAAATCTTAAAAAAAAAAAGAGAGAAAGAAACTTCAACTTGGTGCCTCTAAGTTACAGCACAGTCTTTCATGTTTCAAATGTATCATGGAGTACTCTTGCTTATTCGACTCTTTAAACCTTACAGTATGCAACAACTATGAAGGACTAATGATCTTGGTACCAAACAAGAAAAAAATTTCACAAGGGCTTCCACTTCTGAATTGTCGTATTATCTCACAAGTTTAAATAAGATGATCTACCGCCATTGTTCTTCTAACTGCCCAGTATATTAGCAATTCCCCTGTGTGGTTAGGAGGGTGAATAATTCCTTAGACTTTTTGCTAGAATTAGGGTGTCGTCATGACTAAGTGGTGAACTTAGTAGATGGAGATAAGCTTCAAGTGATGATGTCATTATTTTTTTGCTATGTCTTAGCTTTGATGATTAAAAACCCAATTCTGTGTAAAACCAAAATGAGTGAGAAGAGAAACAGAGAAGGAAAAGTCATGCAATATCTTAATCAATACTGGGAAACACTGGGGCGCCTGGGTGGCTCAGTTGGTTAAGCGACTGCCTTTGGCTCAGGTCATGATCCTGGAGTCCCGGGATCGAGTCCCGCATTGGGCTCCCTGCTCGGTGGGGAGTCTGCTTCCCCTTCTGCCCTCTTCCCTCTTGTGCTCTCTGTCTCTCTCAAATAAATAAATAAAATCTTTAAAAAAAAAAAAAATACTGGGAAACACTGGGGTAGGAAATCTATTTACCAGTTCAATGGCCCAAGGTTTTGTATTTCCTTTGAAGAACTTAAGCTGACAAAATCTGTGGCGTTGACACATGGAGCAAAATACTTTAGCTTGGGGTGGCAGGTGCAGCAAATCTCTGGGGCTCCTCAAAAAACTCTCCTGAATCTGGAAACCATCAGCTTAAACTAAGAAGTTTGGCCCTTGCCTTCAAAATGGAAACCTTAAAAGAAAGGACTGTATCAAGAATCCAGCCTGCAGAATGACCGAACTCCAGCAAACGAGAATGCTCCATAGTGCATCACTTTGATGCATTCTGTTGTTTCTAATTCTGTGTTGGTGAACTTTCTGTCCTTTTTTTTTTTTTTAACCATTTCACATCAAAACAAATTTCTTAATTGAAACATAACTGGAGGGGCGCCTGGGTGGCTCAGTCGTTAAGCGTCTGCCTTCGGCTCAGGTCATGATCTCAGGGTCCTGGGATCGAGCCCCGCATCGGGCTCCCTGCTCCGCGGGAAGCCTGCTTCTCCCTCTCCCCCTCCCCCTGCTTGTGTTCCCTCTCTCGCTGTGTCTCTCTGTCAAATAAATAAATAAAATCTTAAAAAAAAAAAAAAAGAAACATAACTGGCATGTAACATTGTGTATAAGTTTAAGGCTTATATCAGGTGTCTATTACCTCTGACTAAAGGTAAAAATAATTTTTCTGTATTTAATTTGTATCCTTTTTATGGTGTCATCTTCCCGTTGAGTTTTAACTATTTCCTTCCTTATCCTAATACTTTCTCATTTAATTCAATTTTGAAAAAATTCACCACCAGGGTGCCTCGGTGGCCGAGTCAGTTGAATGTCCAACTCTTGGTTTTGGCTTAGTTGTGGTCTCAGGGTCGTGGGGTCGAGCCCCATGTAGGGCTCTGGGCTCAGCGTGGAGTCTGCTTATCCCCGTTCCTTTCTCTGCTCGCATGCACAAGCATGCACTCACAAATAAATAAAATCTTAAAAAAAAAAAGTTCACCACCAAAGTCTTTGAGCATAGTTTTGATCATGACACTCCCCTAAATATAACCCTTCAAAAGCTCCCAGGTTGCAGTAAATCAGAATGGTTCACCCCAACTCTACAGCAAGAGTACAAATGGAGGCCCACATATTCCTACCTGAACATTTATTTTTTTTAAAGATTTGATTTATTTGAGAGAGAGCGAGCAGGAGCGGGGGGCGGGGAGAGGGAGAAGCAGACTCCCCGCTGAGAGGGAGCCCATCATGGCTAGATCCCAGTACCCTGGGATCATAACCTGAGCCGAAGGCAGATGCTTAACCGACTGACTCTTGGTTTCGACTCAGTTCATGATCTCCAGGTCCTGCGATAGAGGCCCACATGAGCTGCCATGCTCAGAGCAGTCTGCTTGTCCCTCTCCCTCTGCTCCTCCCCCTTGCCCCCCTCTTTTTCTCTCTAAATAAATAAAAATCTTAAAAATAAATAAATAAAAATTACAAAACCTAGCAAACTACTACAAATATGCCTTCATGAGGCCACAGAATGCCACATTCCAGTTCAGAATTATCAGGCCCTGAGAGTTCCATACCAGAACACGGAGACAGAAGAATCATCTCTGGCCCACAGTCAAACTCCTCTTCCTACCCCCTGCTCATTGTTAAGTTTGGAGGGTTCCTGTAATACACAAGTGGACACCCAGACTCATCCACACCTCTGCCCAAGAAAGCACACTCCATCAGTCCTTGGCCACCTTTGGGGCCCAAGGATATGCATACCAGCTCTCTATCTTTGGGAAGTTAGGTACATAAGAGGTGTTGGAAAGCCCTAACACAAGGCTTCCTCAGCTGGTCAGCCAGGAAATTCTGAGAGCTTGGCTAGAAGATAGGGGGAAGGGCAGGCTCCTCCCTCTTGGACTCCTTGTGTGGACTGGGGTTGGGGAAGGGTCCAAGAGGTGAGGGGTTTTGGAAAGCTGCATCGCACAGGGGTTAGGGTTAGGGGGAGTTCAAGGCAAGTGGTGGCCTCAACGTTTGCTTGTAAACACACTGGGTCCTCCGCACACTTCTTCCTAAGAGAACTGTTTTCTCCGGCCCTGCTCTAAACACAAACCAGAACGAAACACAGAAGAACAAGGAGACACAGATACAACCCTAAAGTGAAGTAGGAAATGAGGGTGAAAGTAAAGAGTGACTTCAACTACATTAAGAATAAGAAAAAGGTACAAAGAAAATTTCAAAAAAGAGTAAGAAAAAGGTAAATCTTGGTAAAAGAAATGAAACAGAATTTTAAAATAAGTATTAGAAACCCCAAAGGAGATACGATGAAGGACATTTATTTATTTATTTAAAGATTTTCTTTGAGAGAGAATGAGAGAGATCACAGAGGGAGAGGGAGAGAGAAGACCTCCCGCTGAGCAGAGAGGCTGATCCCAGGACCTGGAGATCACGACCCAAAGGAAAGGCAGATGCTCAACCAACCGAGCCACCCAGGTGCCCCACGATGAAGGATATTTAATGTAAATGAGCCAAAGGCTAAAACCAAAGCAAGAAGTGAAAAACATAAAACTAGAGGAGATAAAAGATTAAGTGGGTAGAAAGAGGCCCAGTTCTTTGCTAACGCAGGGAGAAGGGAGAGAACAAGCCTGTAAAGACGTAAACTTAAAAGCACAATCTCCAAGTAGATAAATAGGTACAGAGCCTCCGCATAACCCCCAGTGACATAACGCAACCAGGTTTGTTATCTCACTAGAAGTCAACTTTGAAAGTTAAAAGGTACCCCATTTTTCCTCCTGAAATGTGTTTTCAATTACCTCCTTTGTCGGCAGCCAGAGGGAAGAAGCTGGTCCTTACAGTTGAGACAGCCGAAACCACTAACACCGTTATTGAAAGCAGTATGAGTAATATTTAGCAAAAGGTATAAAATGACCATGCTCTTTGATCCATTCATTCCAGTCCTGCTAGACTGTCCTCTGACAGGAGTCCTGTAGGGCTGAACAAAGGAAACATTCCAACCCTTAAAAATTTCCAAGTTTCTGTTTGTGCTGACTCCAAACGTAAAACCAAAGTGTCCAAAGGCAGGAGGAAGATTTAACAAATTATGGCATATTTATCTGAGGGATTATGCAGCAATTAAAATGATGGTAAAAAGCCTTTTAATGAAAAGATATCCTTTATTGGGGTGCCTGGGTGGGTCAGTCAGTTAAGCGTCTGCCTTCTGCTCGGGTCATGATCCCAGGGTCCTGGGATCGAGCCCTGCAGCGGGCTCCCTGCTCAGCGGGGGGCCTACTTCTCCCTCTCCCTTGGCCTGCCACTCCCCCTGCTTATGCTGTCAAATAAATAAAATCTTAAAAAAAAAAAAAACCGTTTATTAAGGGATATAGGCCGAAAATAAAACTCATTGGGCTCTAAAATTATACAAGGCATACAAATCATTATTTAAAAATCAATGTTCGAATAGCTGTGTTGTTTCAGTGATAAGTTTTGGGTAATTTCCCCTTTCCTTCCCTTTCACAAGATACAGGCACACTCAGCTTATCACAGAACCCCAAGGCCTCTAAACTGTCACCTTCTGATTCTGCTCCCCAGTCACTGTCCTTAGGCTTAGGAACCATTGCTATCCCCGTGTGGCTTGGCGGCTGCACTGTGCTCCTCAGAGATCTCTAAGGCAACATCAAATTATGCACTTTTAGCAGCTTGGACTGTTGTTTTTTTTTTTTTTAAGATTTTATTTATTTGACGGAGAGAGACACAGCGAGAGAGGGAACACAAGCAGGGGGAGTGGGAGAGGGAGAAGCAGGCTTCCTGCTGAGCAGGGAGCCCGATGCAGGGCTTGATCCCAGGACCCCGGGATCATGACCTGAGCGGAAGGCAGACGCTTAACTAATGAGCCATCCAGGCGCCCCTTGAACTGCTTATTCTTGACTGGAGTGGGGTAACTGCACTGATCTGACCCTAGAAACTGATCAAAGTAAAACATCATGTTCCTTTTTCTTGTGCAAATTTGGCAAGATATCAAAACATCTCCTCTATTTGATTCCAAGATTGGGTGTAGCTGTTCTATATCGATATTTGACTTCTTCCACCTTTTTTAACTAGGCTCCATGCCCAGTATGGAGCCCAATGCAGGGCTTGAACTCACAACCCTGAGATCAAGACCTGAGCTGATCTAGAGTCGGACGCTTAACTCACTGAACCACCCAGGTGCCCCTTCCATATCTCAGGCGTATGTCCTCTGATAAACCTCAGATAAACCTCTAATAAACCTGCTTAGGGCTCCCAGAGAACACAGTACTTCCCCTTTTATATAACTCCCAAGTCCTTTTTTTTTAAGATTTTATTTATTTGACAGAGAGAGACACAGCGAGAGAGGGAACACAAGCAGGGGGAGTGGGAGAGGGAGAAGCAGGCTTCCTGAGGAGCAGGGAGCCCAATGTGGGGATCAATCCCAGGACCCTGAGATCATGACCTGAGCCGAAGGCAGACGCTTAACGACTGAGCCACCCAGGCGCCCCCCAAGTCCTTCTTTAATGCCTGGCTTTCCCACTAAGACCATAAACTCTAAAGTCAGAGAATGTCTCTCTCAGCATAAAGGTGTTCGGACCCTCGGTAATGAGTTCCCACCTTCCCTTGTTGCAGTAAGAGGACATCTCTGTCTCTAAGGGCAGGGGTGTGCTGTCTGCCCTGGGGGAGATTACCACATATTCCCAGAGAAAAACTAACCATGAACTAGAAAGTAAAAAACACGGATTTTTAGGAGAGCCCGGGGCTTGTGCCATAAGAGAGCAACGGAAATTCTCAGCAGGAGTCAAGTCCTCTCAGGACTGGATTTTCCAGGCTGTTCTATCTACCTGGAAGCCCTTCTTCCTGTCTTGGCCCATCTAACTTCTAGGACCCTTCAGGGCTTGCTATGGGGATCACCTCCTTTAAGTCTGGTTTGACTTCCCAGACTATGCAGATTTGCAGGGAGTAAATAGTTTCTGAGAATGGCTGGAAACCATTCAAGGTTTGTTGCAAAGAATTTATTGATCCACTGATACCTTCTAACTCTCTTCATATGCTGCCTGTGGAGACAAGGATACCATGCGGGTAGGGATTTAGTCCCTAGGGTGTTTGTATTTCTTTAAAAATCTGGAGGCAATTAGGAATGTAAATAGTAGAGCCACTATGTAACGCAATATCAAACCTCCTGAAAAAATTAAAAATTACCATATGATCCAGCAATTCCATTTCTGGGTATTTACCACAAGAATTCAAAGCAGAATCGTAAGAGCTATTTACGCACACACCCATGTTCATTACAGTATTATTCACAATAGCCAAGAGGTACAAACAACTCAAATGTCCCCTGACAGATGGATAAAGAAAATGTGGGATATACACGCAATGGAATGTCATGCAGCCTTTTAAAAAGGAGATCCTGTTACGTGTTACAACGCAGATGAATTTCAAGGACATTATACTAAGTGAAATACGCCAGTCACAAAAGGACAAATACTGATAATGTCACTCATGAGGGATCTAAAGTAGTCAAAATCCTAAACAGAAAATAGAAACGTGATTGCTGAGGGAAAGGGAGGGGGGGTTAATGGGAGGTTTTAGTTTTGCAAGACAGAAGTTCTAGAGATGCTGCAAGATAACGTGAATATACTTAACACTAAACTGTACACTTAAGAATTTTTTTTTAAGGGGCACCTGGGTGGCTCAGATGGTTGAGCGTCTGCCTTCGGCTTGGGTCATGATCCCAGGGTCCTGGGATCAAGCCCCACATCGGGCTCCTGGCTCAGTGGGGAGCCTGCATCTCCTTCTCCCTCTGCCTCTCCCGCTGCTCATGCTCTCTCTCTCTCTCTGTCTCAAATGAATAAAAAAAAAAAATCTTTAAAAAAAAAATTAATAAAGCCAGGTTTCCCAAAGTGTGGAGTTTGGCACAAAAAAAAAAAAAAAATTTTTTTTAAGATGGTAAAGCTAATGGTTAATTACTTTACTAACTGTGGTAATTGTAACCACAATTAAAAAGAAATTAAACCCAGGAGGCAATATGCTAAAATACCAGTAACACCAGTTTGATATTGATGGCCACTTAGAATTCTCATCATTCTTCTTTCTGTTTCTATAAATTTGTGCAAGTAATGTGTATGATTTTTCATTTCCTCATCTACAACATGGGGGGGTAATCACACAGAATATTTTAGTGATGAGAAAGG